CTCAATTTCTTTTGCTTGTCTGTTTGTTTGTTTGTTTGTTTTGGTGAGGCAATTGGGATTAAGTGCCTTGCCAAGAGTCACACAGCTACTGATATGTATCTGAGGCCGAATTTGAACTCAGGTCCTCCTGACTCCACGGCTGGTACTTTATCCACTGTCCCACCTACCTGCTCCCCTCAGTTTCTTTATATGTAAAATGGATGTAGGAATAACTAACATTTACCTCACAGACTTGTTGCAAGGATCAAATGAGAGAAGGCATATATAATTATAAGTAAAATAAGATTATTATTATTATATTCATTCTAATACTCTAGCTTTTCAAGATCTTTTTAGATCTTATCATCCAACAGGTAACTCCATAGTTTCACATCATCTGATTATTTCAACTAATCCTGTCTATAACTTGTTTATACATAGTTATTTGCATGTTGTCTTCTTGATTAGATTGTGAGTTCCTTGAGAGCAGGGGTTGTCTTTTGCCTAGCCCACAATAGGGACTTAATAAATGTTTATTGACTGAATGATTGGCTGAGTCCATTGATATCTTCATCCAACTCACTGATAAAAAACTTTGAACAGCACAGGACCAAGAACAGATTGCTGGGACATTCCACTTAAGAGCCTCATTCAAGTTGACATGGATCTGTTAATAAGATTTTTTTTTTATTCAGTCATCAGTCTCAAATCCCTCCTAAAATGATATCTTTTTGAAATGGAAAAAAAAATAATTACAAGGTTCCAGTGGTCCAATGGATATGAATTCATCAGAGGCCAAACCAAATATACTGTGGCTCTGGTTACCTCTTCATATAGCTCTGACCACAACCCCAGAGTTAGAATCCTGGTTTCCTTGTTTGGTTATTGGCAAAATTAATATGAGACATTGCTCTAGTTCCAGCTCCCATATGCAGTATTGTATTTAGCCTTCTGACCAAAGGTAGGAGGGACAAAAAGCAAAGATTTATTAGGAAATAAAAGACATGAAAATAATAACATGTTTCAGTCTGGGAACCAGATGGTGAAAGAGACAACTAATTAGCCAGTGGGAAAAACACTAAACTTGCAGTCAGGAGACACTTATTGATGGGATCATAGACTTAGAGCTGGAAATAATGTCAGAGGCCATTTAGCCCAACTCATTTTACAAATGAGAAAACTGAGGCCCAGTCACACAGGAGGTACATATTGGAGGCAAGATCTGAACTCAAAGCCTGTTAGTTCAGAGTCAGTCCCCTTTCTTCCTCCTGTAACACATTTGAATCACTCCTGGGGCACTAAGTCACTGTGTGACCCTGGACTAGTCACTTTTAACCCTCTTAGTTCCAGTTTCCTTGGCTGCAAAATAGGGCAAATAACAAGTCTAGCATTTACTGCATGGGGGTGTTGTAAGGATCAAATGATATGATGCATTTAAAGTGCATTATCAAACTTAAATTGCCATACAAATAGCAGTTGTTATCATTGGTAGACAAAATTCTGATTGGAGAGGTCAGAATCCTGAGTTCTTGCCCTTTTTTCCCTTTGTTCCACCACTACTAACACACTGTGACATTAGCCAGATCCCTTAACCTATTTTCCCATCTATAAAATGAGTGAAAAGGAATAGAAGCTTTTAAGGTCCCTTCTAGCTTTCATCTTACATTGTTCTAAAAGGAAGTACCACTCATCACAGTAAGGATGTTTTACTTGACAGTTTGTCAAGTAATGGGGATTCATTAGCCTATGGAGCCTCCTTTAAAGACTGGGGGGGGGCGGGGATGGCAATGCCAAAGCTGGCCTACATTAGTCCAGGAGAAGCATCACAAGGAGGAGCTCTGAAACTTGAGTACAATTTAGGGATTACATGATTTAAAGAAAAAGAAAAATCCTTTATAAAAATCTGCCTGCAATGCGTTTACTCTATTTTGTCTTTATGAAATTCCAGACTTGTGGAAATAAAACTATAGACTCCTCCCTTATTGCTGAAAAGTACCTTAGAGATTCTTAAACAACCCTCTCCTTTTACAGAGGAAGCCTAGACAGAAAAAAATAACTTGCCATAGGTCCCACAAGAAATTATTAATGGCTGCACTTATATAACACTTTAAGGTTTACAAAGTGCTTTACCTACTTTGTTTCCTATGATTCTCATAACTTTGTAAGGTAGACACAATATTTCTATTTTACAGATGTGGAAACAGAGTCTAAGAGAGATTGAATGACTTGCCTGGAGTCACATAGCTAAGAGACTTACATATAGTAAATGTTTGAGGTAGTGTTCAAACTCCAAGACCAACACTCTCTCCACTGTGCTATTAACTGCCTCAGGTCGTTGCACCAGCATGTTTTCCAGAACACCATGACTCAAAAGTTTGTAGCTTTAGTTCTATCCCTTTTCTTGAGGTACACTCCAATATATCCAACTGTCCTCTGGACACTTCCATCTGAATGTCCTAACCAAACTCAGCATTTTCTCTAATGAAATCCAAGTACCATCCCCATCACTCAAGCTTACACTTTGGAGTCTTTGGTGACTCCTCCCTGTCCTTCATTCTCTTCTCACTTAGTGACTCATGAGTTCACATAGATTAATTATCATCTCTAAGAAGATAACCTCCAGGGACAGCTAGGTGGCACAGTGGATAGAGCACCCGGCCCTGGATTCAGGAGGACTTGAGTTCAAATCCGACTCAGACACATAACACTAACTGTGTGACCCTGGGCAAGTCACTTAACCCCATTGCCTAGCCAAAAAAGAAAAAGATAACCTCCAGCACTCACTCCACCCCTAGACTTTCTCCTAAGCTCCATCCCACACTGCCAATTGTCTATTGGACCTTTCAAGCCCGATGTCTCCTAGGCATCTGTAACTCAACACATTTAAAAAGAACTCAACATCTTTTCCCCCAAACTCACTCCTCAACTCAACTTCTCTATAACTGTAGATTATACCACTACCCTTTCAGTCACCCAGGTCCATAACCTTATTGTCATTCTTAACTCCACATTCTCACTCCAAATCACCCCAAATATCTAATCGGTTTCTACATCCTGCCATTCGTTTCTTATGTATACTATCCCTTTCTTCACACTCACAGCTACCATTCTAGTTCAGGACCTTAACACCTCTAACATGAATTACTGCCATAGCCTACTATTTGGACTCTTTAACTCAAGTGTCTTTGCCATCTACTCTATTTGTATCTTTTGCAACTAGGTGGTGCACTGGATAAAATACTAGGCCTGGAGTCAGGAAGATTCATTTTCCTGGGTTCAAATTTAGCCTCAAACTAGCTGTGTGACCCTGGGCAAGTCTCTTAACCCTGTTTGTGTCAGTTCTTCATCTGTAAAATGAGCTCGAAAAGGAAATGACAAACCACTTCAGTATCTCTGCCAATAAAATCCCAAATGGGATCATGAGAACCGACTGCAAAATGACTGAACGGGAAATCTAATTGGTCTTTCTGCCATCTGCTCTATTTGTTTTTTGCGCATGCCTATTTATGTAATTTCATAAATTCATATACATATAAACCCCCCCCCATGAGAATGTAAGATCATTGCAGGCAGACCTTACTAATTTTCTCTTTTGTATCTTCAGCATTTAGCACAATGCCTGGCACATGGTAAAGGCTAAAGAAATGTTTGTTGATTTATCAATGGCCTTCATCCAGTGAATTCAAAAGTCCTTATAAAATGGTCACCTTTGGGGACAGCTAGTTGGTGCAGTGGTTATAACTCCAGCCTTGGAGTCAGGAGGACCTGAGTTCAAATCCAGCCTCAGACACTTGACACTTAGTAGCTGTGTGAACCTGGGCAAGTGGCTTAACCCTAATTGCCTTACTAAAAAGCAAAATAAAGTAAAAGTCATCTTTGGTAAAGGATAGGTGCCAATAATTCACACCTTAGTTTGCATTAATTTAAATTGAGAAATACAGAGCATCCAGCCTCAAGACATATAACACTTACTAGCTGTGTGACCCCAGGCAAGTCACTTAACCCCCATTGCACAAACAAAAAAAAAAACAAACCAAAACACAAAATTTATAAAAAAGATAAATTTAAAAAATAAATTGAGAAATACACATAGCCACAGGAGAGTTTAAGAACTAGGATCTGGGATTACCAGCTTTGTCCTCTTATGCAAGTCACTTATTCTCTCTCGGAGAATTCTTCATTTTAAATTGAATAAATGTATATAGGACATATTTTGTAAAATCATGGTGAAGTGAGATAATATATAAAAAGCATTTTCTAATTGTACAGTGATATAGAAATGTAAACCAATATTCCACAGGATCTTTGATCTTATCTATATGGGTAACTCCCTCCAAGGAAATAGACAGAAATCCATGCATGCCCACCCATCTTGTGAGAAAGATACACAGAATATAGGTAATTATTATTTCTCCTGAGAATTGCTGATGTTAGGCCCATTCTTCTTGAGAGGAGGGAAATATGTATTACTTATAATAGCTAATATGTGGTTTATAAAGCACTGTACACACATTCTCATTTGATCATCATAGAAACTCTATAAAGTAAGCATGGCATATATATATAATTCTCATCATCTCATACTTTACTGATGAGAAAACACACTTGGGGTCATAAACCTAGCAAGTGGCAAATTTGGGACTCAAGTTCCTAGGTTTTTCTCCCCATTACTTATTCTACTGCACTGTTCTTGCCAGATTTGCATAATTGCATAATCTGGAAGAGAGGAGTACCAGCGAAGCAAGGGGTAGTACTTCAGAAAGGACTCAGGAGGTACCAACAGGGCTGGCTCTGAGTAGCCAGAGAGCTTCAGTACTACCTAAAGTGAACAGAATGGGAAAGAGCCCCCACTTAGCAAACTTCTTCAAACTTCAATATTTCACTCAAGTCCACTTAACCCAGTTTATCATTTTGTGCTGGTTTTTGCTGTGATTCACTCACTCCCCAGCCACATCTAGATCTAGTGATGGAAGAAACTGTGGACAGAACAAAATAAGTCTTTATTGGTAAAGTTTTCAGGCTTCAATGCCAAATGGCACCACGTTTGTAGGGTAAATCCCTGAGATGATCAAAGTTTCAAGTATCCAGGTTTCAAGTTTCCAGGTTCATTGTCCAGTTAACTCAGTGTTCTAGGGTATGAGGGAAGGGGGAGGGAAGGGGATGTGGAGGACTGAGGATGGAGGGAATGATCTCTAAGGAGAATTATAGCCACAAGGCCATCATGGCCTATCCCTCCACCTCCCTTGGGGCTATGTGGGTACACACATGTATACACACACATACATATGTATGTACATATATGTATATACACATGCACACATATATCTCAAAAGGTACAAAAATACTAAAAATATAAAGCTTTTATGGGAGATTCTCAGACCCTTAATCCTCTGGATCCCAAGGCTCTCATTTCTCCTCATCATGTGTGGAGATCCAATCGCAGTTGAACAAGAAACATCTCCTGTAGCTCACAGCTCTGTGGAGAATAAGATAACAGTAACAACACTGTACCCAGGAAGGGCTATGCCTAGCTTACTTGGTCAAGGAGATTCAGGTTCCCTAATTGCTTAAAAGGCCTCATTTTCAGTCTTAGAGAGGAAAAATGAACAGGGACTGTGGATGTAACTCAATAAACAGGGCCTAAACAGAGAAGAGAATATTAAACTTGGCCTTAGGAGGTGTAGTTTCTATTTCCTCCTGCCATCTTTGAGCTCAATGAGTCCTATCAAGTTACTTTACCACTGTGAGCAACAGTAACCATCTGTAAAATGGCAACAGTACTACTTGCATTACCTACTTCACAGAGGTCCTATAGAAGAAATTTTCTGTAATAATAGCAAATGATGCTTTATGGTTTACAAAGTACTTTCCTCAAAAAAACTCCATGGGAATATTACCATTTCTTATTCACAAGTGAGGAAATAGGTTTGGAGAGGAAGAAAGAATTAGTTAAGTTTGCCTTGAACTGAGTGCTAAGGTTCCAAAATGCCATTACCGGGCTACATAAATTATTCCTATATTCAGTGCACAACATTAAGGGGAGGGGTTGGGGAGGGTAACAAAAGACCCAAATCACCGCCTTTAAGGAACTAGCATTGCATGAAAAAGAACAGATGGTGAGATGAGAAGTGGGGGAGTGGGGGAGACAGGGCTGAGTAGGTGGAGTTCTATTTAGAAGAAGCAGCTTGGCTCACTGATTAGCCTGAGGGCCAACTTGGAGACAGGAAACACTGGATTTGAATCTCACCTCTACCACTTACACCTTATGTGCTAAATCTTACCCTCTCAGAGGTTAGTTGTCATCTATATTGTAGAATAACAAGACCATAGATTTAGAACTAGTGAAGTCCTTTGACATCATCTGGTCCAATCCTTTCCTTTTGCAGGTAAGGAAATTGGGGCCTAGGGAAATCTAAATAACTTACAAGCAGTAGGTGAAGGAGAAGAGATTTAAATCCCTGAGTCCAAGCCCAAGCCTTATACTCTTTTCATTATGAGAAGCCAGCCTAAGGTAGTTTCAAGAAAAGCACTTTGAATGGCTTTAAGTCCCTTGGGTAGGAGCACCAGGAAGGCCCTGAAAAAGGAAGCACTAAGACAAAAATGTTATTGATCTTTGGCTTCACAAGAAGGAAGAGCGCCCTGGATTAAGATTCAGCTCTCATTATCCCTACATACCTGTCTTGGAGAGCCGGGTCTCTTTCTGGGCTTGGTTGGGGCGGTTTTGCTGAGTAGAGATATTGTAGGTTGGAGGCCGACCTGAAAACTCAGGGGCTGTTGCCAGAGGTGTGCCCAGATGCAATGCCACGTCCATTTGCTTCTGGACCAGATGCAGCTGTTTCTGCATTTGCTCCAGCTCCTGTTTGAAACCCTTGGAATGCGGAGGTGCGGCAGAACTGTATCCCCCATTCTTCATGCTTCCCAGGCCCAGGTGCAGCAACTCAATCAGGTTGAGCAGGAGGCAGAGGCCACTGACTGCATACATGACCAGCAGGAAGATGGTCTTCTCAGTAGGACGAGATACAAAGCAGTCCACGGTGTGGGGGCAAGGGCTGCGCTGGCAGATATAGGAGGGAGGCACTTCCAGGCCGTAGAGCAGGTACTGGCCCATCAGGAAGGCCACCTCTAAGGCAGATCGGATCAGCAACTGCCCCACATAGGCTCCCAGGAGGCCGTCCCTGCGGATCCTCCGGCGACCATCGTGGGCTTCATCCTCAGCGGACTTCTTGGACTTCTCTTTGATCATGGGCTCCCTCTCTTCCTCCTCTTGTTCCTGGGTCATTTGGCGCCGGGACAAATGGTGCACGGCATAGCCCAGGTAGAACACGGTGGGTGCAGTGACTAGGATGATCTGGAACACCCAGAAGCGTACGTGGGAGAGGGGTGCGAAGGCGTCGTAGCAAACATTTTGGCAGCCTGGCTGCCGGGTGTTACACACGAATCCGCTCAGTTCGTCCCGGTAAATGGCCTCCCCACCCACAGCCAGCAGCACCAGGCGGAACACCACCAGGACGGACAGCCAGAGCTTCCCCACCAGGGTGGAGTGCTGGGTCACAGCCTCCAGCAACCTCGTCAGGAAGGCCCAGCTCATCTTCGATCTTCCTAATTACTTTCCACGACCTGAGAACCGAGGGGCAAGTGAAGGTACCCGCCTTCACCGCACCCCCCCCCCGCTTCACTTCAGGCTGCTCCTCTGGGTACTATCCTCCCCCATCCCCTGGGGCCCCGACCCTCACGTTCCCAAGTTGAATCCCAGGCCATTACCCCGCTCCCTCTCTTACCTACAACCTCTTCTCCAGTTCCCCACGCTAGTCAGAAGCCGGGGTAGCAGAAAGACCTGCAGGGAAAGTGCAGGATTCGCAGGGTATTTCAGAGGGACTAAGTGGCGGGAACAGATCCCCTTTCAGGCTGTGCCTTCCTTTCACCACCCTCCCCCAACCGTGAGGCGGGCGCTGGGCGTGGGGGGCTAGGAGTTTGGGAACAATACTGAGGCTGAAGAGTCCAGAGAAGGGGGCGTGGTGGAAGTGGAGTGGAGGGCACAAGGCCAAGGGAGGCAGGGAAAGGAGGAGAGCAGAGGAGCCCCGGCGCTCTGGTTGTCCCATTGTCCCAGGCTCGGGCGCCACTTCCCAGGAAGCTGCAGCTAGTTTCTAATCAGCCGCGGGGGCAAAAGAAGGGCAGGAAAAAGATGGATTTGGGGGCGAGGCCAGGAAAGAGTGTTCGTCCTGCTCCGAAAGTTTTCACCCACTGACCCTCGGTGCGGTCCGCCCTGTCCCACCAGCATCGCCTCGGAGACTCCTTATCTCCTCCCTCTTCTCCCTGGGGCATGCACACCTCCTACTTGAATTTTGTCTCAGCCTAGGCACTCAAGAGGGGAGCTACAGCAGCCGCAGCGGGTGGGTAGATTCCATCTTCAAATCCTCAGTCCCTCCCCTGGGTCTGGTTCCAAAAGGCGTCCGCCCCGCCAGGGAGGGCGGCCAGATTAGGTCCTGGTTCTCCGAGGTCTGTTTTGAGTTCCTGGTCAAGGTTCTGCAGAACCTTTGGATCCCACGCTCAGAAATCAAGTATTCCGAGCCTGCAGCAGAAGCTGTGTCCCCATCCCGGATGCTGGATGAGTCGAATCCCACCCCAGATAATTAAAATTGTCGGAGCCAGGAGTGTAGGGATAGTGGAAAGAACTGGAGCTTGAATCAGCAGACCTAGCTTTGAGTCCTGTTTCAACCACGCTTTAAACTTACTTGTCCTAATCACTTCATATTCCTAGTCACAGTTACCTCCTCTGACATAAAGGAGGATTGTATCTATAAGGTTCCTTCCAGCTCTAAAATTCCATAAGAATGTGGAGAGAAAAATGAAGTTAGCACCTTGGCGAATAGTTTTAGGAGATGTGGGGTTCCCCTTCCTCTGCCCACCACCTCAAGGGATTCTAAGCAGGTAATGATTTCCAACATTTATATGGCACTTTAAAGTTTCCAGAATACTTTAGGTACAGTATATCATTTGAGCCTCTCAATAGCCTTACAAAGTAAGGTCCTTACAGTTATTATTATCCCCATTTTGCAGATGAGAAAACTGAGGTTCAGAGAGGTTGTTGCTCTTGGTCATAGACAGCTCTTGGTGGGCTTTGAATGTAGATCTTCCCCACTCTTAAGTTCAACAATACACAACATCATATTGCATCTTAGAAAAGCCTCCAGTAGCTTCTCTTTGCTCACAGAATAAAATAAAATTCCCCTAGCCTGACATTTTACAATTTCCTGATCTGCCCCCAACCCAACTTTTTAGTCTTTATTGTATATTTTTCCCCTTTACACAGTCTATATTTCTTTACACAGTCTATATAATTAAACTGGAGTACTTGAGGTCCCCTTGATATCCTTCTCTTTCCCACCCTATAAGATACCCCTTATACTTTTGTGTGTTCACATTTAAATTTTTTCAGTTCCAAATTCTCTCTCTTCCTCTCCCCCTTCCCCACCTATTGCAAAGGCAAGAATGCAAGACTCAATAAACATATGAAGTCATGCAAAACATATCCACCTTAGCCACATTGGGAGGTGGAGGAAGCACGAAAAATAAAGTGAAAGAAATATGCTTCAATCTGGACTCAACGTTTATCAGTTCTCTCTCTGGAGGTGAATAGCTTTTTTTTTTTAAATCACAAGTGCTTTGGAATTGTAAATCATCATACTGTTCAGAGTTGCTAAGTCTTTTGCAGTTCATTGTTACAATACTGCTATTACTGTGTACAATGTTTTCCTAATTCTGCTCACTTCACTTTGTATCAGCTCATACAAATCCTTCCAGGTTTTTCTGAAACCATCTCTTTCCGTTCTTACAGTACAATATCATATTCCACAATTTTTTCAGCCATTCCCCAATTGATGGGCATCCCTTCAGTTCCCAATTCTTTGCCACCACAAAAAGAGATGCTATCAATAGTTTTGTACATATGGATGCTTTTCCTTATTCTTTGATCTCTTTGGGAAACAGCTCTAGTAGTGGTATTACCAGGGTCAACTGGTATATACACAGTTTCATAGCACTTTGGACATATCTCTAAATTGTTCTTCAGAATGGTTAGGCCAGTTCACAACTCCCCCAGCAATGCATCAGCATACCTACTTTTCCACATCCTCTCCAGCATTTGTTATTTTCCTTTTTTTTCCCCTTCAATCTTTTCCAACATCAGAATCCTTTCTTTCTTTTTAAGGCAATTGGGGTTAAGTAACTGCCCAGGGTCACACAGCTAGTAAGTGTCAAGTGTTTGGTCTGAGGCTGGATTTGAACTCAGGTCCTCCTGACTTCAGGGCCAGTGCTCTATCCACTGTGCCATCCAGCTGCCCCAGAATCTTTTCTAATTAGTCCTGTCTTCTCATTATGTGGTCAAAGTATTTAAGTTTCAGCTTCAGTATTGACCTTCCAGTGAATAGTTTGAATCAATTTAAGTATTGACTGAGTTGATTTCCTTGCTGTCCAAGGGACTCTCAAAAGTCTTCTCCAGCACTACCATTTGAAAGCATCGATTCTGTGGCACTCAGTTTTCCTTGTAGTCTAATTCTCACAGCCATACATTGCTACTGAAAAAAACATAGCTTTGGCTAATATGGACCTTTGTCAGCAAGGTGATATCTCTGCTTTTTAGTATATTGTCCAGATTTGCCATAGCTTTCCTTCCATGGAGCAAGTGTTTTTTAATTTCATGGCTACAGCCATCATCTACAGAAATCTTCAAGCCCAAAAAAATAAAATGTGACACTACTCCCATTTCCTCTCCCTCTATTTGCCAGGAAGTGATGGGACCAGTTGTTAAGATCTTAGTTGTATTTTTTTTATGTTAAATTTCAAGTCAGCTTTTACAACCTTCTCTTTCACCCTTATCAAGAGGCTTACTGTCTGCTTATCTGAGATTGCTGATATTTCTCCCAGTAATCTTAATTACAGCTTTTGATTAATCCAGCCTGGTATTTTGCATGATGTACTCTGCATATGGAGCAGCTAGGTGGCACAGTGGATGGAGCATTGGGCCTGGAGTCAGGAAGATTCATCTTTCTGAGTTCAAAGCTGGCCTCAGACACTTATTAGCTCTGTGACCCTGGGCAAGTCACTTAACCTTGCTTGCCACAGTTCCTCATCTATAAAATAAGCTGGAGAAAGAAACAGCAAACCACTCCAGTATCTTTGCCAAGAAAACCTCAAATGGAGTCACAAAGAGTCTGAAACAACTAAACAGCAACAGTAAAATACTCTGTATATAAGTTAAATAAGGTCACACTATATAGTCTTACTGTACTTCCTTTCCACTCTTAAATCAATCAGTTGTTCCATATTTGGTTCTAACTGCTGCTTCTTGACCAACATACAGGTTCCTCAAGAGACAAGTAAGATGATATGGTATTGTGTTGTGATCCACAGACAAAGGCTGCAGTGCAGTCAATGAAGCAGAAGTAGATGTTTTTCTGGAATTCCCTTGCTTTCTCCACAATCCAGTGAATTTGGCAGTTGGGTCTATAGTTCCTCTGCCTCTTGAAAACCAGCTTTCATTAATTTTAATTAGTCTATGACTAGTTTTTGCCAAATTGCTTTCTAATTTTCTCCTTTAATTCTAATTTTTGTCAAATGGCAAGTTCTTACCCCAAAAGCTTGGCTCTTTGGTTTATCAAATAAATACTAGATTACTATGGTTATTTACCACTATATATTGTGTACCTAATCTAGTCTACTGATAACTCCATTTTATTTCTTAGCCAGTATCAGATTGTTTTGATGATTACCACTTTATAATATGGTTTGAAATCTGGTACTTGGTAGGGCCACCTTCCTTCACATTTTTTTCATTGATTCTTTTGAGTCACTGAAATCCTGCTGGTTGTTATCAGTGATATATAGAAATGCTGATGATTTATGTGGGTTTATTTTATATCCTGGAACTCTGCTAAAGCTGTTAATTGTTTCAACTGGTTTTTAGTTGATTCCCTAGGGTTCTCTACATATATCATCATATCATCTGTAAAAAGTGATTGTTTTGTTTCCTCATTGCCTATTCTTATTTCTTCAATTTCTTTTTCTAATCTTGTTGGTACAGCTAATATTTCTAGTACAATATTGAGAAATAATGGTAATAATGGACATCCTTGCTTCACCCCTAATTGTATTGAAAAAACTCCTAGTTTTATCTCCATTACAGATAATGCTCACTCTTAGTTTTAGATAGATACTACTTATCTTTAAGAAAAATTCTACTTGTTCCTATGCTTCCTAGTGTTTGTAATAGGAATAGGTATATTTTGTCAAAAGCCTTTTCTGTATCTATTGATGTAATTTTTCTTGTTTTAGTTGTTGCTTTGGTCAATTATGCTTATAGTTTTCCTAATAATGAGCTATCCCTGCATTCCTGAAATAAATCCAACCCAGTCAGAGTGTATAATCTTTGTGATATACTGCTGAAATTTCCTTGCTAGTATTTTATTTAAATTTTTTTCCACCAATATTCATTAAGAAAATTGGTCTACAGTTTTCTTTTTATGTTTTAACTGTCTCTGGTTTAGGTATCAAAATTATATTTGTGTTATAGAAAGAATTTGATAGGACTCTACCAATTTTTTCAAACAGCTTATCTAATATTGGAATTGTCCTTTAAATATTTGGTATAATTTACTCATAAATCCATCTTGTCCTGTTTTTTTTTTTCCTTAGGGAGTTCATTTATGACTTGTTAAATTTCTTTTTCTAAGACAGGATTATTTAAATATTCTATTTCTCCTTGTTTCATTTAGGTTGTCAATTTTATTGGCATATAATTGGGCAACATGGTTCTTAATAAATGTTTTAATTTCACTTTCATGGGTTGTGTATTTACTCTTTTCATTTTTGATACTAGTAATTTTGTTTTCTTCTTTTAATTTTTTATTTTAGGCAATTGGGGTTAAGTGACTTGCCCAGGGTCACACAGCTAGTGTCAAGTGTTTGGTCTGAGGCTGGATTTGAATTCAGGTCCTCCTGACTTCAGGGCCAGTGCTCTATCCACTGTGCCACCTAGCTTCCCCGCCCCCCCCAGTTTTCTTCTTTTAAAAAAAAAATCAAAGTAACCAATGGTTTATCTATTCTGTTGTGGGTTTTTTTTTAAACAGCTCTTAGTTTTATTTATTAGCTCAATGGGATTTTTTTTACTTTCAATTTTATTAATCTCTCCTTTGATTTTCAGGATTTCTATTTTAATATTTAATTGCAGATTAAAAATTTTTTTTTTAATTTTTAGGCAGTTGGGGTTAAGTGACTTGCCCAGGGTCACACAGCTAGTAAGTGTCAAGGGTTTGGTCTGAGGCTGGATTTGAATTCAGGTCCTCCTGACTTCAGGGCCAGTGCTCTATCCACTGTGCCACCTAGCTG